TTAAGGGGGGAAAAAAGGGCTGTTGCGATGTATACTAAACTGCTTTGTTTTTAGTAGGGGTCAAGCCCTGTGTAAATAAAAGTGCTTCCACGGTGGCAGTACTTGTTCCCAGGAAACTTGGTGCTATGGTACTTGAGCAACCAAAACTATGAACCAATTCTTCATAAAAACAGCAATGTCTCTTTCATGGCTTGAAGTTCTGATTAATCCTAGAATCGGAAGCCCTTTTTATAACAACTTCATCACTTAGTAACCACAGTTATAGAACCACACAGCTCTTTAAGACCTCCCTTTATACAATGCTACTCAACTATTATTAAACTTTCAAGCCATCATTAATGGCTAAATTACAGTTACAGAAAGTAGCAAATTAAATTTGAATATCTTAAATCTTAACAACTGATTTTAAAAATGACGTCAACCTAAACTTCAATATACATTTTGGCAACTAAAAGGTTGGGTTTAGAGTTTACCTCTCCCCAAAAGCCTTAAAGTAAAAGGCAATGCGGAGAGTCCATGACAGAGTTACTATTTTAGGATACTAATTAGCATTATTTTTCTAACTGCAAAATAAGATATATTTCTCTACATTACTAAGGAGGTCTGATGTCAGTTTTTGTAAAAAAAAAAAATTAAGTTTCAAGTATTAAACTACCTACATTTTTTGTTTTTTAAAATGGTTAAAATAAGACTTTGGGGAGGGTTATTTTGGGGATGCTATTTTTTTTAAAGAAAACTAGCCTACCATCTTTCAGCCCACTGAGTTTGCTGTATCTAAACATCTAGTTTCTTAATTAAATATCTTTCTTAGTTCACACTACAAGTACCCAATATTTTCCCAGGGAATAAGTTAATCTCTATGTTCTATTTACTCTGTCACATCCACTATCTTCCAACTCTTTCTTCTGCCACTGTTGTACGCAGTTCCTCCAGAGTTTTCCTCCCTAAATCGCTGTAGCACTGCAGGCCATTCTTCCCTAAGATAAGCACCCACAGAGCAGAAGCAAGCATTTTCTCTGAGCGATGAGGGCATACTTTCATCTTTTCTCTCCACTCAGCCTCAACAGCAAGACAAACAGGCAGAGACTGACCCTCCCTCCCCTCAGATAGGGAAATACTTTGTGATTACAATTTGAACTGTTTTGTCCGTGGTGGTGGTGGTGGTGGTGGTGGTGGTGGTGGTAAGCATGTTTGAAGCTTAATCAGCATTTAACGGCAAAATTACAAACTTTTCATTTTTAAAGGAAAATCATATGAGTTACACTTAATATAACAAGAAACCGCACAGCCTTGTTTCTCATGAAACGGTTCCTTTTTAAAACATCTAATCTTTATTTGTTAACAATATACACTGTATGTGCTTATAGTCTTCTACTGGGCAAGTGTTTGAAAGGGGAAGCATAAGATAGAACTATATATAACAAGAAACCTTAATTCATCTCCTTTAATTGATACATTTCTGAGGAAGCTTTATTTGGGAAGTGGCACATTCATTTCTAAAGTAACATAGGTAGCAGAAAAAAAATCAAACTATTTATAGCAATCAACTACAAGGCAAGTTTGTTTAATGCTGGAATATGTCTGAGTTAAAAGCTATGCAATGTCAAAATCTCTGGAAAAAATACACTTTTTAAACTGTGGATCAAGATACTCAAGTCCTTGAATCTTCAAGGACTAAAAACACTATGGCCAATTATTCAGAAAATGATGAATAATGGAAATGAAAAAAACTATCTTTTAAAAATTATTATAAGAATATTACTAAAACAATGCAAATCTATAAACTTTTCAAATCATTAGATCAGATTCCTTAAATCAAATTATAAGGTCCTACATGGTACATTATACACAAGAAGTTCTTTGTACATGGTAATAGTTACAAGGTATCAGATTCAATAAAATTAATCTGAGAAGTAAAAACACTCCTTGTAACCAGGGATATTATAGAATACTAATTCAGGAAGTTATTCAGCAGCTTATAAAGAAATAGGAAGTTGTTGACCAACTACTTGAAGAACTATTTCCTGTAGGAAAAAACTATAAGACAGCTGAAGAAGGCAGTAATGCTGAGTTGTAAAGAGGATGAATTATTTTTAAGTAAAAGCTCAATGTACCATGCTGAAATTAGTTTCTAACAGTAAATTCAGTAGAATAGGTATTATACATAGTATACAATGACTAAGCTTTTTTTTTTTATATACACACTTCACAATTATCACAGAACTTCAATAGGTGTCATGGATAAACATAGCTAGTACCATATTTCCACCATATCACTTGCCAGAATAAGGTACAAGTCTTCTCCAGAAGACCTCAATGATCTAAGGAGAGCTTTAAAAATACCAATGATTGCCTATAATCCTTCAGTAATTATGCTTCCATAAAACTAGAGGATAGGCTAATTGACTTCAAAAAACTCATACATCCACAGTCACAAGGCAACAATTGGCTGTTTCCAAAGCCAACATTTCTAAGTTTTCTCACAAATTACTTCACCTTGTATATTTGGACCATTGTAATTTAAGTTAGTTTCAAAAAATATCTAAAAAAATGTATAGTAAGATATAACTTTTCACTCTTGAGTTTAATGTAAAGTATGCAACTAGTTCACTAGGTGAACTAATTTTTTTCATAGTATTTCTCCAAGCTGCATATTGTTCATAAAACAGATACTCTTTAGATGAATATAAAATTTTATTTATTTATTATTATTATTTTTGTCTTTTTCATGACCGGTAAGGCGATCACAACCCTTGGTGTGGTGTCGCCCACACGGTGCTCAGCCAACCCGCGGCAGGAGCATCGCTGCACTCCCAGTGCCGCACTCTCCCGAGTGCGCCATGGGGCCGGCCCAAGATGAATATAAAATTTTAGAAGTCCACAGCACCCATCTTCCACATCCAATTATTAGGAACATTCTAAACAATCCCTTACAGGTGCTAGCTAATTCACGATTTCACCAGCTTTTATTACCATGATTTATCTCTCAGGAAAAAACCCTCTATTTCTGAAAAGCCTGATATGAGAAAATTCTTTCATGGAATCAAAACTCCTCATGCTTCTTATCATAATAAGCCTAGCTTACTTCCACATGAAAGTCCCTCAAAAGTATTGAAAGAACAATGTCATATTTCTCCTTTTCCCAATTTTTTCTTTTCCAGGTAAACTTCCCTCCACTCCTGCAAACATTCCTCATATGGTGTAATTCTAATTTTGGCATGCTTTACCTTCCTTGGGGTGAGTGGGATGAGTGGGGTGGGGGTTTGTATGTACACCTTAATTAATCCATTTATGTATGAATACCTTTAAGAGAAACATTTCTTCTCAAAGGAAGAACCATTGGAAACTTTTAAAAATAAATATCTAGAATATTAATTTCAGCTCCAAAAAAGATAACTCATCCAAAATAATGAAAATGCAGGCAGACACCGCAAGCAATTATTACAAGACACAAAAGACTAAGAAGAAGAGCATAAATATTGCTCTTTAACCTTATACTTTAAGCCACAGCGTCAACCAAAGAAAGGAGACAAGCAGGCTATTAAGCTGTTTAAAAATCTCCCCAGGTCAGCATGTGACCCAGCAGGGAGAGGTTCAAAAAAGTACAGCCTTTCTTTCTCTTCCTAACAACCTGGTTTGTTTCCACTCCTTTCCCCTTCAAGACACATCCCTCACAGCTAGCAGCTCTTTCAATCATTTACTTTGGATGTCTGCTTGAGAACAAATGATCTTGCTCATGCAGATGAGTTTACCAGACTTGTGTGTACTTTCCAGTCTCAGGCTTTTTATTGTTCTGGTTGTAACCTGACCCTTTGAAATGTATAGCAGGACACCAAAAAAGGAATAAAAGAAAAAGGTGCAGAAAAGGAGGCAAAAAACTGTAGACACTTATCAAGTTCAAACCTTTTCCTCTTCTCTTTTCCTAAATAAGCCTGTCACAAAACTTTTTATCTTACATTACAAAGTAACAACCCGCCCTGAAAGACAATCAATATAAAATACATAACAAGACTCACACAACAAAACACTATCATTAACTGTATTATTCGATCAAATAAATATACATTACAATTGCCTCAGGAGTAGATTGTCAAGACGGATCTCAGTCAAAACTTGGATTGTTTTTCACTTTATCATCTCAACCTGAGTAAATGTTATTAAATGAGCATTTTCTTAAAACATCAATTTCAGCATATAATAATTAGTTTTAGGCAACATTTTGTATACACTTAATCCAAATGCAACATAAAACTAAGGTCTTTAATTTCAAAATCAGAGGGGAAAAAATTCCATTTAGGTCTTTTCGGTTTAATGCAATTTGCCATTTTGTCATAGTCAAAAAGGCTGATAAAAATAAATAACCCAATGGGATTCTGTTTTGAAGACGTGCTAGCCTGAGAGAAGTTTGCCACTAAGTGATTACATATCAAACCTAAAAACTTGTATTTCTCTTTACATTTGGAGGAAAAAATTGACAAATCACATCAAACTACAACTAAAGTGCTTGTCATTTCACACTTTAAAATACTGTAAAATTTTGACATTCAAAAAAATCCTACTGGTTGTATAGTTCTTTACCGATAAAATTATTTATTTAAAAATATATAAGTAGTACTGTATATATTTCTTAAGTCAATGCCAGTCTATAATTCTCAGAATATGAACATTTTCATGATATTCTTTCTGTTTGGTGCTAGGCTAATTAATAGATTTGGCACAAACTCAAAATGAGACTATCCAAACTAACACAAAAGAAACCGTTTTTAAAAGGCTCTGAACCAAGAATCAATCAACTTTCAAAATATTTTACACGCTAAAGAAGGTATGTAGGTCATACCAAACTGAAAAAAAAAAAAAATTATGAAAGATTAACTGAGCTTGACATAAATATTAAGCAAAATATAAAACTAGGTAGTATTCTGTATCTTGACATCACTTTACTGTGTTTCTCAATACACGTTTTTCTTAGATAACTGTCTCCCACCATTATTTGCACTTACTTTAAGAAGTATCTCTGACCAGAAGATGTCTTTGCCATCTCCCAGCCTGCTGGCAGAGGTACATCATCAGGTATCTCAAAAGAAGACTGTCGAAGATGCTGAGCTGTGGGTGCAGCTGCTGGGCCAGATACTACTCCTGTGGGGGTCAGTGTTCCAGGAGAAACGGCTCCCAGTTGCAGGGAAGCTGGAGAGGAATGAGCTCGAACATGCTGTGGAGTCAGGGCTCCTGCAGTGCCTGCGTCGGTACTGGCCTATTAGAAATTTTAAAATTAAAAAAAAAACTTTTTAGAGAGCATCCCTTTAAATTTCTAGATAGAATTTCATTGCAACCAAATATCTAAGTTTCAAAGGCAAATTTCAACATTTAATATTTGACACTGAGGAACACAGGTTTTCAGATGGATACTTTTAATTTTATGTAATTTTAATAAGCACTGTTATAAACATTTGTAATTTTACCGATAAGTAACCCACCTAAATGAATTTTTAGCTATTACACACTAGACATGGGTTCTACTAAATAAAACATTCCGAAAATAATAAAATTTTCTAAAGTGTTCCAGGTATAAACACAACCCAAACAATATACATTTTTTTTAAACTAGGTTTTAAGTAATTAATGTCTTTCCCTAGGGTTTGGCCTAGGAAAAAACAAGCCCTTGTCATTTTTTCTTGCTATGAACAAATACCATCAATAAAGCAATCATCACAAGCTACACAACTTTTAATGAGTGCAAAAGATTCAGAACCACCCAAAAGTTCTTAAAAGCCATCTAATGAATGGAATGAAAAACCAACCATATTTTTATACCTAGAAAATGAAGACGCTATCAGTTCAATCATAATATATAACTTAAGAAGTCATACACATATTCACGACTATGTAATAGCAGAAAAAAATTCTGCATTCAGACCCCAAAGATATGAAGTGCAAGCTGGTTAGTGTGACAGTGAACAAATAGCTTAACTTCCATGAGCCTCAGTTTTCTCATTTGCAAAGTAGCTTTTTTTTCAAGATGGAAAATGAATATTATAAAAGAATTTATAATCGACTTATTTAAATTTTATTTAAAATAAACAAAAAATAGATTATGAATAGTATGATTTACAAACTGCTAGCTACAAATTCTTATGTAATTATTTACTAGAAGAATAAGTACACTTTTCAGCTGAGATTCTTTTTGGCTTATAGGTGCCACAAAATGGAGAATTCAATCTCCTATGTGTCTTATACTTTCAAAACATATTAAGTAACTAGCAGCATAGCTGTGTAGTCGTAGGGTGCAGGCCAACACACATTCACCCGTAACGAGTCTAAAAACCCACTTCCAGGGATAAGAGAAAAAAAGCATACCTAAGACTACTTCTTAACAAATTGAAGTGTTTAGCCAAGCAGTTAAATTGTTTTTCCTTCCTCCTCCTTAACCCGGGTTTTTGTCATCAGGTTAAGTGAGCTTTTCTGAGTTCCAAAACCCCTTGGTCTGCGACAGAATATACAACAGGCCTGCAAAAAGGAGGGGAAATGGAAGTGGGGGCGGTAACTCTCCTTTCCACTCAAGTTACAGCCCGAGTGGGCTAACTACATTGCAGTATTTGGAAAACCAATTAACTTTTGGGCAAAGTTCCTATGCTGAAGTTGAGCCTGAAGCAAGTATAGAAAGGAAAAAAGAAAGAAAAGATAAAAAGAGAATCCTACACTAAACAAATCCACTGGGACCTATTGGAATGTTAGCACTTTCATAATAGTTTCAATTCAATGCTGACCCAAGTTGGCAAAATAATCGAACGTTGTGTATGTGGAAAAGCAGCCATGTTCGTATCCTCAGTAAGAATTAAAAAGCAATGGCGATCCTAGAATTAGTCATCGCTTCCCAAACATTAACTTTTAATCACAGTTGAACTAGGCAGGAATCGGCCTATGAGTCAACCTGCAGTGTATTATCAAAGGCTTGTATTAAAACCTTGGTACTGTAAAGCGCAACTCAGTTCCTGCGCAACGTACAGATGTGGCTAAATTAAAAGCATTTCAACAGACTGTAAATAATAGTCTACAATTGGGAAACCAACACGCGAACCCTACTAAGTTTGATAAGTGCGAGTCTGCCCAAGTTCCAAGGCACAAGGGAAGTGCAGGGGTGAAAGAACTCCGTAAACAACTTCCAGGAAAGTCTGGGTCTGGGAAGACCGAATCCTGTGTTCTCAAACCGCCTGGGCCGCGAGCAAAATGCTTTTGGGAGAGGGAGGGAGAGGGGGAGAAAGAGCAAGAAACTAAATGGACCGGTTCAACCCCCACCCCTAATCAACACTGGAAAACAAGAGAACAATTATTTGACTCCCCAGGAGACTGAAGGGGACCGAGAGGCCCAAGAAGCAAAGGGGGCCGAGGGCTCAACTTCACAAACTCGGCCGCCGCTGGCAAGTCACCCACACACAAATGCCAGAGGCCCCCCTCCCCCTTCCCGGCCCGGCCCGGGCGGGAGCGAAGGTGCGGAGCGCGCGGAGGCGCGCGCATTGTGCAAGCCCACCGCGGCCCGGGCCGGCTCTCCCCACCCCCTTCCTTCCTTCCCACCTCCCCCGCCACTCCCGCCAACCTCTCGGGAACCCCGGGAAGAAAGAAAGGAAGAAGGGGGAAAGCACGCCCCCCGGGGCTGCAGCCGCAGAGAGAAACTCCAAGAAGAAAAACAAATCTCGGCCCCGGACTCCGGGAGGAGTTGGGAAGCCGGTCACCGCGGCCAAGCGGGCGCCTCCAAGTCCTCCACTTCACCGCGAGACCCCCGCCCCCGCTAGAGCTCCCGGAACCCCTCTCCCCTGGCCAGAGCAGGCAGCCGCGGCTCCCGAGCGCCCCCCGGCCTGGGGCCCGGCCGGGAAGTGGGAAGAGGGGCGGCGAGGTTACCTGTCGGGAGTGGGATTTGGGCTCCGGCGGCTTGAAGAAGGAGTCGGGCAGCTTTCGGAGCCTCATGGGCACGGTCTGGGGCACGTTGGCCGTCTTGGGGTTCATGACGGCGTTGAAGAGAGCCTCCAGGTCGGTCTCCGAGTCCCCCCGGACGTGCACTATCTGGTGCCCGGCGGGGGGGGCCGGCGGCGCTGCCTGGGACGCCGGGGGTGCCGGCTGCCCGGGCCCGGACGGCTGGCCCTGCCCCTGGGGAGGCTGCGCGGGTGGCTGCCCTTGGCCCTGGGGGGCCTGTCGTATAACTTCGT